CGGGGGGGGGGGGGGGGCGGTCAACAAAGCATCTGTTGCAGACTTGGTTAATAAAGAATGTAAATTAAAAAATTAATTCAGATACCACATCTCTATAATCATTCTGATAATGAGTTAAAGGCTAAATAAACATTAGTTTGCTGCATGCTATGGAAGGATACCACAAAGCTAGGATGAAACTATGCATAGATAAAATGTTTTATTCAAAAGTACCCATGAAGATAACTAGAACTGCTAACCAAAGCATGGGTTAGTGGGCAGGGTAGCTAAATTAAAGCTGCTTCATTACCCCAAATCCAACTGTAATGAAAAGCTGTAGCATGTGGAAATTGGGATATGTGAATAATGAGTGTCTGTCACCTTGCAAGGCTCCCTTCATTAACCTAAGACAATTTTATGTCATGTTATTGGGAAACAGAATTAGATTTTCCACTGAGAAAGCCAAAGAGAAGAGCTCCTCTTCCTCACACTCCACCCCTAGAGTAAGCCAAGGGACTGATAAGTGACTAAGGTTCTGAAAATTAGACATTCCCAACCAGGATTGTGAAACTTGGAACCAGCTGTCCAAAAATGAAGGGATGATTAGAAAGCATTATCGCTACCTGGCCAATACTGCTATTGCTTATGTCTCCTCCCTTGGTTTCTGGCCTTTTCAATCCTGGTCACTCAGCCTCCTGCTGATTCTATAAATTCCAAATTTTCTTCCAATAATTTCCTTTTTTACTTATGGCAGACACAGTCTGACTCTGTTACTTGAAACCAAAAGTCATCATTGACATGAGATGGTAGAGAAGAAATCAGAGCTCTGATTCTTGCCTGCTCAGTAATTCTCCTGAAGTGAGGTCAGTCTCCTCACCAATCTGGTTTTTAGTTTCCACATTTGTAAAGTAGGATTAAGTCCCACCACTGTACTTTATAGAAAACTAGCCTGTGAAATGTTCCCCGAATAAACGGTTCTTCCTTTGGAGAATCTAATTGCATTCCGGCCTGTTTAAGTTTCTGGAAAATCCTCCAGTAAATGATTTCACTTGCCTTTAACCCAGCACTTCCCGAACTTAATTATGTAAGTTTTATAGCCTAAAACACTAACATCTCAGAGTTAATCATCCACAGAATAACTTGGGAAGAGAACTGGCTCCAGCAATTCATTTTTCTTTGACTTTGCACCTGATACTGAAGTTTGTCCATAATCACACATGGGGCCTTTCAGGAATCTCTGTATTAATCCATTATGGGAGAGGTTCTTAAACCTCAGTCCATAAAGAACCATTTTAGAAACTCATAATAATGCACACCAGATCTACAAAGCCAGAAACTCCTGGAATAGAGCTAAGGAATCACTCTACACATAGTTATGTTGGAGGCAGTGTTCAGTCCACAGTATGAAGAACAGTAACTTACGTAATATTTCAGTGAAAAGTAACTTATATTGGCTTATATTCCTTAGCATTGGAAGAAGCTTGAAGTCATAGTCACAATAACACATCTCAAAGGTTGGGCTGTTTCATCATCTCCTAAGAGCTACGGATGAAACAAGCTTATAGACAACTTGTGAATATCTGTTAAACCTATTAAATATCTCTGATACGAATTTCTGATATAGATGGTCCCAACTTACGATGAAGCGACTTACAATTTTTTTTTATTTTACAACTTTGTGAGAGCAACATGAATTCAGTAGAAACCATACTCCCAATTTTGAATTTTAATCTTTCCTTGGCTAGTGATATGCACAGTATGATACTCTCTTATGATGCTGGACAGTGGCAGCCAGCCATAGCTTGAACTCAGCCACACCATCACAAGGGTAAACAAATGATACTCCACAGTGTATTCATCGTGTTAGGTGATTTTGCCCAACTGGCTAATGTAAGTGTTCTGAGCATGCTTAAAATAGACTAGGCTGAACTATGATATTCAGTAGGTTAGGTGTGTGAAATGCTTTTTTGACGTGGTATTTTCAACTTACGATGGTTTTATCAGGACATACCCCTATCATAAATTGAGGAGCATCTGCAATATTAAAATGTGGATATGGTTTTAGCTGTAACTATGAGGTCAATAATTTGGACAAAATCTACTTAAAAGGCTGAATACACAGGAAAAGGGCAGTCTCCCAGATGTTTCTCTCATTCCTGTGATTCCTCTATAGCTTATTCATTCTCACCATAAACTGAGTTAGTGAGAAATCAAGGTTAAAGTAGTAGGAAAGAAACTTAATTCATCTAATTTTATGACATATTAACAACTAAAAGAATCTGATGATAGGAAGGCTGGAATGAATAGCTAAAATGTTACTACTTTTACACTATCTGTGAATTTCATTTGCTCTCATTATCACAAATGATGAAAAATTAGCTGTCAGAAATTTCAAAGCAAGACAGCAGAACATGATAAAGATAGGAATTAATCTGGAACATTTTTCTCTCTGTTAGAATTTTTCAGGTAATATGAGGAAGATAATACCACATTTCTTCACAATATGCTGTACATTTTCTTACAGGAAAAAGAATGAATTGTGGTGACCGCTGGCATTTATTAAAAACAAGGAAACTTTTTGTTCTAGGCCACTAGTTATATTTACTGTAAGAAAACTCTACAGATTATTTGCAGGACTCGAGAGAATTCACTTTTAACTTTATAGCCCAAAATGTACAGATAACTTGTTTGTAAATAACTTACAAGGATCACAGCCTCACAACTGGGATATTCTGTTTTATTTTATTTTGATAACCGGATTATAACCTCTTTGAAACTAGGAAGTGGTAATAAATGATGCTGTGCCTTTTCTCCAACAACTTCATAAAAGTGGCATCCTGACATATATTTGCCTGGGCTTCATAAAACAAAATGTGGAAGTCTTTCTTTACAATATAGAATGCACATCACACACACCCTTATAGGGATTATGGCTTTTTTTCTTTATTAAAGCACTGCACTGTCTCAAGGGTGGCTGCATTCCTTTGGACTGTGAAATAATCTCTGGAAAATATACATGCTACCCCACTGAAGAGCACTAATTAGAGTTTGAATGTGTTCATTTTGTGTTCAAATTTCAAGTCCTCTTCCCCATCCAGCCACTTCTCAGGCCTTTCCTTTAAGACCACGAAAAGCAAAACTATAGTTGTTCAAAGTTGGAACTAAGGAAAGAAAATAAATAATGAAGCTGAGCTGGATTTCACTGTACATATTTAGAGTACATTGCCTAGAGTGGAACTGTGCTTACAAGTACCAGTTTTTCAGGTTTGAATTATTCATTTGGGCTCTCAAAAAAAACCTGCTTTGTAGATCCAGGGCACTTGTAATTTTCCAACTGGGTTCCTGGTCTGCTTAGCTAATTCTGTGGGCTTCAATGTGCAGTCCACACCTGAAAAGGGGGAGTTTCAATGTTGTGGTTTATTAATCAGGTACTTTCCATTCACTCAGTTAACAAATAGAAAACAGAAAGAAAAAAGAGAGAACGCCTCCTACTTATTTTTTACTCCAAATATGGAGACAGAAACTATTAAGCAAGTGAAGAGGGAAACTCCGGCATATTTCACCTTGACCTGGATGGACGGGTCTGATGCCCGTAAGGGGAGGCTGCTCTTTGAAAGAGGTTGGCAGGCAGCTAGTGGGAAACAAGAGGTCAGACTTTACCAGGGCGAACCACTCCTGCCCCTAGAGGTAAAAGGGAAGCATCACTCTGGGTCTGATTGGAAACAGTGCCTTGTTTTCAATCCGGAGGACTGCGTTTTCTCCCTCGGCCTAGCCTGTTAGTGACAGGACCCAAGGAGGCGCATGGCTTCCCCCACAGTTGCCCAGCAAAACACCCCTCCCTGCAGGCCCTAAATTTCTGATCTGCAAGCAGCAGAAATGCCATCCCACCTCCCTCCCTCGCTTCTCTCCCCTGTTTCGCCGGCCTTTGTAACTTCTTTGTTCTGTTTATTGGGAAGTTGACTTTTAGGTCAAAAGACCCAAGGTAAACTAGCAAATGCCCAGAGCCACCACCAGACCCTGTAAAGAGCAGGGCTGCCCAGCCCAGGGTTGATGTTCCGAGTGGAGGAGCCACGAGAAATTTCAGCCAGCAGCTGCTAGTGCAGCTCCTGCAGACTGGAAACTCCGGCATATTTCACCTTAACCTGGTTGGACGGATCAACTCTCCAAGTGTTGGGGAGACGCGGTACAGTCTTGGTGTGGGGCAAAGGATGAGCTCCTGACCCTGCAAGCAAAGTAGGTAGTGCGCGCTCCCAGGACAGAGGGTGTTGGAGGTGGGGTGAGGCTCCGGGACTCCGCTCTGCAGGCGGCAGCTGCTGAGCATTGAGTATCTCCAAACAAAGGAGTGCGCAGAGCCCGGGGCGAGAGGCTGGGGTTTGCGCGCAGCTGCCGCTTGCGCTGAGCCAGCCTCTGCACCCGGTAGGCGAGCGTTAGGGAGCAGGAATTCGGGGAGGAGAAGGAAAAGAACAGGGCGTGCGATTCCTGTTGTGCGGCTACACTTCAGGAGTTCTTGTGAACTATGGGAATGGCAACCATTAGAGTCAAGGGGGAGAGAAAGAGCTGGAGTGAGCAAAACAAAGAGCGAGTGTGGGCCGCGGTGACTTCATGCCTCACTAATGTCCCGCCCACGCTACTCCGAGCTTTTGCTGTTGCAGCTAGCTGCCTCCGAGCCTCTCGGCTGCCGGGCCCGGGCGCTCCATAGCGTGGGGCGGTTTCCTAGCAACTCAGGGCCCTGAGCGCGCCCAACTATCAGCACATAGGGATTCACCCCCCTACCCCCGACACCCGCGGGCCAGGGCAGGGCCTCACCTCTCCGCCCCCCACCAACTGGTCTCCCTCTCATCCTCACGGGGTGCACCCCTGAGCGCGCCAACAGCCTGGGCTCTGGACGGCCGGACATCTGAGCTGTACACTGAGGCCAAGAGTACGAGGGCACGAAGCTCCCGCCCCCCGAGGCCGGGCTTTAGCACCCCCGCAGCGGTGTGCTCCACTCCTACCCAAGCCGGGAGCTGCGATGCCTCGCTCTGAGTCCGCCAGCGCCGAGGGGGACTATTAGGGCGCTCCCGGAGCCGCTTCCCCTTGCTGCTGGCGCCCCAAGCTTCCTCCCGGCCAGCAAGGACGCTGCCACTTCGACTTTGTCCTCTGGTCAACGAGGCTGCAAAGCTGCAACTAAGTGGAGTTGGCCTCCCTGCCCACCTGTGGAAGAAGCTCTCGCTGATTGATGCGACATAGACTTGTTTCCCCTCTGGCGTCCCCTCCCACAGATGCAGCATCACCCAGTGAATGTACATTAGGCTGGTTTTTCCCCCCAGCTTCGGGCTTTGTTTGGGTTTGATTGTGTTTGGCTCTTCGCTAAGCTGATTTATGCAGCAGAATTCCCGTCGGCTGGAGAGAAACAAAAGCTCTTTTCTTTGTCCCAGAGCTGGCTGCGGAGCCCCGCTCGCGTTGCCGCCCCGAGCCTTTGGCAGTCGGAGGAGGTGCTTCTCGCGGAGATTTCGGGGACCCACCGCGCCGACCTGGGAGGGCCGCAGGGGCCCTGAGATGCCGAGCAGTGCCTGGGCCAGCGTACCTGCACCGCTTCTTCCGAGCCGCGGGGTCCGCCTGCCGGGCCTGCTGGAAACATCCTAGCGACACTTGGTCCGCGGGCCCCAAGGTGCGCCTGGGAGGCGCGAGCGCGCATCCAGAGAGCAGCCAAGCGGCGGGCGCTGTGTGGGCTGCTTTGCATTATGTGCTGCTCGGCCCTGGCTTTTCTTACTGCCGCATTTGTCTGCCTTCAAAACTGCCGACCAGGTCCTACCCCATTCCTCCGGGCGGCCTGGGTGTTTTCAGTTGTTCTTGGACTGGGCCAAAGTGGTAAGTTGTGTGTGTGTGTGTGTGTGTGTGTGTGTGTGTGTGTGTTTTGTTTTCTTCTCTTCCTCAAAGGTCTTGCAAGGGTTGAGGAGCATCCCGGCCAGTTAAGTGGCCGGGTGTCAGTCTCCTTCCATCTGCCCGTAGAACTTCAGAAGGGTGGTGTGTGGCACTATCCCCCATCACATGTGGCCTGAGGGAGGCCAGGTGTCAAGCATGAACGCCCTGGAGTGACATCAATCACTAATTATAAGTGGGGATACTGTGTGTTGCTCTTGGATGTTGGGAAAGCAGTAATAGAATGGACGTTTGGAAGTGTGGGCAGTGGTATTTACAGAAGCCAGTTTAGGGGTTCTGCCCCATCCTTGAAGGCATCCTTAAAGATGCTCCACATCTTTCTAGCATGTGGGTCTAATAACTAGCTTGTATCTGATTCAAGGCTGAGGATAAATGGGTGTAACAGGAGTGAGTCTTCTGTTTTTTGGGGACATGAAGGAAAAGGATGGCACCATACAAGTTTCTTCTGTCACAGTGCTCAGCCTGAAAGAATTAAAAGTGCAAAAGCGTTTTGGCACTTTTGAATTATATGCAAATGTTAGGTGACACTACTAGGTTGCTAGCAAACACAGTTTAAGTAATAGTAATAATCATCAATTTAGGATGCGTTCTTACTGGTTTTATACACAAGCCAAACACTTATTTTTGCCCAGGCAATGATTATTGCTGCAGTTTATTTTTTAATTTACTTTATCTGTGTGTGGCCATCCAGTCCTTAAATTCTATTAGAGCCTTTCTCTGACCTCTCCTGTTGAAGGAGAATTATAATTGTTTTGTAGACCAAAATTTTCTCCAATGCTTTGAACTGGTGTGCCAAGTTTCTGCCTGAAGCTAATTAAAATGGTCAAGTCATAACCTTATAAATAAGGGTTCTAATGGAAACATCCAGCTAGCTTCACTTATTGGTTGCTTATATAGTTGTCTCATATATGTTTCAAAAGGAATTTACCCACTTATGTGAAATGAGAGCAATTAGAGTAAATTTTTATCTTGTGGTTATTTTTTGCCTTATGTGTTGATTTAAAAATAAGTGAAACTTAAGGCAAAGGAAAGCGTAACATTCATTATCAATTATCTCTTAAGTGGAACATGCATTTGTTACAGCAAATTTTCCACTGAGCATAATTCCATCCTGTATTAATAAGTGACAAAGTGTTTTTCTAGATTTAGTAAACAGATACACAATAGTAAAATGACCAAAATTGTGTCAACAGCATATATTATGTCCCCAATTCGTAGGCGAAGGAAAAAGTCCTATTTGCCTCTAGAATTTGTTAATAATAGTAATAATTTTTATTCATTGGGCTTGTGATGATTAGTCAAGTTCTCCTGTAATAGCATTGCATTTCCAGTCAGTAACTATAACTGACTTGAAGCAAATATTATGAATGGGCTCCCTTGCACCTGCTGTTGTGAAAAGGGAATGCTTATCTGAAATCAGAACAAGGCATCTTTTTCCCAGCCTCTGTCAATATACAAAGGTTTCTCATGTATACTGGTTTGCATTGCAGTTAAAAACATGCAAAAAATTTAAATTATAGCCAGCACAACTCAGAAAATTAGAGATCAGCATAAACTGTTGTACTTTTGTGATATAGCTACAAGGCTCAAATTATATGTCTTCACAGTGCAAATTAGACGCTTAAAGCAGAATAGAAATTTAGGTATCAGTTACAAAGGAAATCTTGTTCCCTTGCTCAGTAGTTTACACCAAGGAATTGTTGAGGGCATTAAAGCCATACAAAAGAAACCATAAGCTGCACAACAACATACCTTTGGGTTTAGTTTTTGAAGTAGAATGTATAGGTCCCAAACTACATAGTGGACTTTTGTTAATGAATATATCACAAGTAAGAAGAATGCTACTAATAAAATCTGAATATTCTTCTGATCTAGGAAATTTATTGGACTTTGTTATTCAATTTTCCCTGGTGAAAATTACTGACAATTCTTGTAACAATAACACTAAAGAGTGGTTAATGAGTAACTGGAATACACTAAAGAATACCTAGTGGTTAATATTTGAATACTTAAGGTAGCAACACTGTTGTTTCTACATTTGCTACTTTTGAAAGGTTAGAAACTTTTTAAAAATATGTTTTTATTGATTTGAGGGAGAGGGAGAGAGAGAGAGATATGAGAGAAACATCAATCTGTTGCCTCCCATACAGAACCCGCAACCTGGGCATGTGTTGCCTCCCATACAGAACCCGCAACCTGGGCATGTGCACTGACCAGGAATCGAACCTTAAGTGATTTCACCTTCTGTGTATAATCAACTATTTATTCTTTTAAGTAATAACCAACTAGATTATCATTGTTTTTTTAACTGTAGTATTACTTTACCTCAGAACATATTTTGTAACATGTGTTCTTATGTTTTTTTATGGTTACCTAAAGTGAGAAGATGTTTAAGAGAACCAAGCCTTTGTTTATAAAAATCCAGTCTCAGATTATTTGTGCAATAGGAATCCAAATTAATTCTATCTTAAAGCAACTGAGACACCTTCTGAGTAAAAAATAAGTTTGTATTGTATATAAAAGCAAAATAACTGATAAGATTAGAAAAAGCCAAAAAAATTCCTGTGCCCCCAAATATTTACCTGTTACCAAATTATCTGAAATTTCACCATTTAATGGATTTATTTGGATTAAGCATGGTATTGACACTATGTTTCTTCTAATGTTTAGCTTTATATTATGGGAATTTTGAAACACATGCAGAAGAAGAGGTAATGGTATAAGGAATTGCCATATACCCATCACCCAGCTTTAAAATGAACTATCAACTCAGAGCCAACTTTTTTTTTATCTCTCTCCCCACCCAGTTTATCTTTTTTCCCCAACTAGATTATTTTGAAGTAATTTCTTATATAATTTTATTCTAAATATTTCTGTAAATTAAAATACTACTGGAGAAGTAACACACTCATTAATCCCAGGGCATGAATTTTTTTAGCTGAATTTTAGGGCCACAAGATTTTTCATTATCTTTCATGGGAGGAATGCAGAAGTGAGGGCCTGGAGCAAAGACAATTTTAACCACTTACTTTTCAATGGTTCTGTTATGGCTCCATTAAAAATATTTTTCTTAAAATATGCATATGTAACAGGCTTTTTGACATGCATGTATATGAAGAAGGAAAAAACATCAATACATCTACTTCACCAACTAAATGCTAATTACTTTATCCCAATGGAATCACAGAAAGTATACCTTGTTAGGGTTTGTTGGAAGGGTTGTTATCTTGAATCATCATTTTTTCTCCTCTCTACTGGATCACTTATAGCATATGCGTATCCATACACGCTGTAGTATCCCTCTGCTATTTCTCACTCTCTGCTATAGCCAAAATTCTTGAAAGAGCTGTCATACTTGCTGTCTCCAATTCTCCTCACCTGCCTGTTGAAACCTTTGCAATCAGGCTTTATTTATCACCTCTCCCAGTATCTATTCTGTTAAAATCACAGTGAGCTCCCTATTGCCAAATCCCAGGGCCAAGCCACAGTCTTCATCCTATTATCTGTCAGCAAGTTAACACTGTTGACCACTCCCTCCTTCAAAGCACTTCTTTCATGGACCCACAAGCTCTTGGTTTAAGCTCCTTCTCCATCTCTGGTGTCAGTTCTTCATGTCCCAACCTCCAAATGTAGGAGTGGCTCAGGACTCAGTCCTTGGACTGGACTTTCTCTTATAGCTATTTATTAAGTCCTCAGGTGGACTAATGCAGTTTTGGGTCTTAAGTACCATTTCTATGATGACAACTTCGGTCCTGACCTCTTATCTGATCTTCAGATGGTATAGCAAACTTATTCAACATCTCCACTGTATGTCTAAAGGCAGAATTACCCTAACATATTCAAAAACATACCTCCAAATTTCTCCTTTAAGCTTGCACCTTTCATACTCTTCCTCATGTGAGTAGGTGGTAAATCAGTCTTTCTTTTAGTTCAGGGTAACACTTTGGTGGCATCCTTGATCTATTTCTCTAATTCACACTAGAATTTGCACTTTAAGAACTATCCTTTCTAATAAAGAGTGAATATGCTAATTGACCCTCATACCATCACAAAAATGGCGGCACCCACAGCCAATAAGGAGGGAATATGCTAATTCACTGCCCCACCCTCAAAGATGGCGGTGCCCACAGCCAATAAGGAGGGAATATGCTAATT